GCACCAGAGTCAGCAGCAGCAGCAGCAGAGTCAGTAACAGGAGCAGCGGAGTCAGTAGCAGCAGGAGCAGCAGCAGCAGCACGAGCAGAAGTTTGTGTAGCACCTTTCGCTGTCTAATATTTCTTGATGGGGCAGCACTGCTGCTGCTCTGAGTTTGAGGGTCTGAACGCAGTGCTCTGCTTCTGCTGCTCCTAACTTTAAAGGCCCCAAGTGCAGCAGAACAACATCTGCTGCTGCTGCTAAGCAGCTACGATCTAGCTGCAGCAGCAAATCAGCTCGAGGTGATGTCAGGGGGGGCCCCCAACAGGGCTCTACGCCCTTCCACCTTCTAAGCATAGGGAGGCCCCCGAGGGGTTCCTCTCTTGCTGCTGCATGCATCCCTGCTGCGGCCCCACACGCTGCGGCAAAAGCTGCTGCTGCTCAAGAGCGTTGCTGCACCAGCAGCAGCAGCAGCAGCAGCAGCAAGGCGCTGCACAGGGAACAGACACCCCAACACCGCTGGTCAATGATGTAGAAGGATCACAAGACCTGCGGGAGTTAAAGAATAAACAGCTCCTGCAGCTGCAGCAGAGCTCCAGCAGCAGCAGCAGCAACTGCAGCAGCTGCTGAAGCAGCTGCTGCGGGAGATGCAACAGCAGCAGGAGTGGGGAGTAAGCTGCTAGCCTGCAGCTGCTGAAGGATTCAGTGCTGCTGCTCCGCCAACTGCCAGCAGCAACAGATGTACCTGCAGCAAGAGCTGCAGCACAGCTGCAGCAGCACGGCCCTCTCGAGCAGCAGCAGCAGCAGTAGCAGCAGCAAAAAGGTAAATGAAAAGGCAAGAGGAAGCCTTTGAGTTTTGATGTCCATAAAAAATCTGTTGCTGCTGTTGTTTGGTGTAGCGGTCTTCGCTAGTCGGCTGCTGCTGCTGTCGGCGCTGCGCTGCAGCAGCAGCAGCAGCAGCAGCAGCAGCACAGCGGTGGGGGCCCCAGCAGCAGGATCAACACTGAGCTGCTGCTGCTGTAACTGCTGAGGCTTTAGGTTGTTCCTTCTTCTTCATTATTTGTTATTTATGCCTTGCAGTATTTAATTTGTTTTTATTTTCAGATAATTTGCTGCTGTTTC